ACGTACACTCACGCACACACTGGTGTCCCATCTGGATGAGCTTCTTGATATTAGTCTCAGAGACATCAAAGAACTATAAGATTCATGGATAAACAATCTATACTTGTTAATTCTTTGATACTTTTGGAATTGGCTATGTAATAAGCTCTATTCTAGTTACTAGAGAACCCATTGGTAAATGAGATAGAGTTCCTGTCAGGTGGGATTTATAGCCTAGGAAGGGGCTAGACACATGAAACAAATAAACAAATTAATCAGAATGTCGGCTGGTGACAAGTACTATAAATGAACTAAACAAGAGCGAAGAGGAAGAGGAAGATAGCAGGACGGTGTTGCAGATGGGGGCAGCGGCTATTGCACGTCAGCAGAGGAGGAATGCACTGAAGAGGTGCTGCTTCCTTTAAGCCCAGATGTCAGGAAAGAGCAGCCCTGCAAAACCTTGGGGCAGAATGTTCTCAGAAAAGAACTACCAAAAGCAGCTTCAAGAGGCAGCAGGAGAGGCCATGGACAGCACCAGCTTGGGTGAGCAAGGACTTGGTTCTCAGTCCATCGGGAACTGTGGAAGCCATCAGAGAACCAGCTGATTGTATCACGCCCTGTGCTTTTTAAGCATTCACCTTGGATGTTGAATGAAGAACAATGAACTGTAGGAGGTGAAGAATAAAAAGAGACTCGATCAGAGGCTATTGTGTTGACAAGAGTCCTGGTGGGGAAGAAAGTCATGGATACAGGACCTATTTTAGGAGTGCTGTAAAATGTGGAGATCTCACATGGTTCAGTTATGGGAAATGAGATAGAAGGAGGGATCAAAGATCACTCATGGCTTTGGCTTATTCTTTTGTAGTGTGATATGGAGAAACCAAGAATAGGAGGGAGAAGAATTCAGATTTAATCCTGCTGAGGGATGAGTTATATATACCCAAGTGGAATTGTAAGGTAGCTGTCTGCATACTGAGATATTTAAGTTAGCTTATTTGCTTTTGGCCAGTATCCTTTAGCACTAAAAGCTTCAAAGGAGCACATTTAGTTTTTAATTGAATGTTGTTTTAGCCATATCTAACTAAATTTAATACTGATAATTGTGCAAGAAACAGATAAAATTTTCTTCTTGATGTCTGTCTTTCTTCATATTCCTCTGAACTTTTTTTTTATTAGATGATGGAGAAATTTCAAGACAGGGAAATCTACGTTGATTCCTTTGAACACTTATAATTCCTACTATATAGGGAAATCAGATAATTTCCCTATACAGCTATAGGGAAAAAATCATATTATTAGATAAAAGAGGAGGGAGGAGATAAAAGTGAAGAAGAGGCATAGAGGAGCAGAGGAGGAGGAGAGGAGGGAATGTTTTTTGACAAGTGGAATTGGCTCTGTGGACATAGTGGTATGTACTTGTAGACCCAGCACTTGGGGGACCAAGACCAGAAGATCCTATCCCAGAATTCAAGACCAACCCAGAAAACATAGTCTATGTCTAAAAAAACAAAAAAATAGGGGTCTGTATTACAGACTGTCATTTCTACCTTCAGAAGCCATTTGTATTAATTAAGTAGGTGTTTTGTTAGATTTTTGACTGGCTGAATGTGTGTCGGGTTCTGGTACATGTGAACTATGTATGTGAATGCTGTTTGTGTAAGTTGTCTTTAACTCATCTGTATCTGAGGATTTCTATCTCCATGGGCATCGTTTTACAAGTTTCTTATCATAATTCTTACCTCTACAAGCATTTAAAGATAAGAAGGAATGTATCTGGTACTGTCACACCCTCTGCGAGCCATTCTTAGATGTTCAGCTTAACAAAAGATGACAGTAAGGGCCCAGCACTGTGGTTTTTGCCTGTAATCCTAGATACTCAAGAGGCTGAGATCAGAAGATTGAGATTCAAAGCCAACCTAGACAGGAAAGTCATGAAACTCTTTCCTTCAGTTAACCACCAAAAAGCCAGAAGTGGAGCTGTGGCTCAAATGGTAGCGCATTAGCCTTGCACAAAATAAAAGTTCAAAGACAGAGCCTGAGTTCAAGCCCCCTGAGGAGCACACGCGCATGCATATGCGCGCACGCGTGCGCACACACACAGGATGGTAAAAGAGAAAGGAATGATGGTATAAGTCAGTAATTTGGCTCAAACCAAATGAATTTTCTTATTTCTGAACTCCAGTGGTGGACCCTGTTGCTCTTGGCAAAGAGATCTACAGCTTTTCTGTGCTGAGGAACAAAACAGTCCTGTATCATCTGCTAGAACCCAGGAATCTTGGCATGGCATCTCTTCCATGAGAACACGAGTCAAGCCACTGTCCTGTCATGAAACCCAGGGAGGCAGGGGGCCCTGTCCAAGATTTGCGTGTAGGAGACCAGCCAGCCAGGACAGCAGCTCTTCAGCACATCTTGATTTGTTCTTTCTGGTGGTATTTGCTAGGCCATCGACTCTCCCGTATTGAAGCTGCTGAGAGCTGCCATCTTGGCCAGATACACCATTTCCCAGGGTGGCTTTTATGGAAGTCATGGAACTGTGAGAGACTCGAGGCCAGGAAGGGTGTTTCTGAATGGGGAAGAAAAAGGTGTTCCAGAGGTCAGAGGCAGCAACCCAAAAACCATGGAGTCCAGAGAGAGAGAGTTGGATAAAATAGCAATCACTGACAAGCTCATGAGCTACTGTGGTAAGCCAGTGACTTCTGAAGTTACGTTTGGCCAGACAGGTTACATTTGTCTGTGGTCAGCGGGTGGAGGAGACAATTGGCACCACTGGATGTGGCTGGAATCGCGAGACCCCAGCGAGCACGCTGCTCTAGAAAAAGTGAGGGTGTCTGTCTGGTAATAATTTCCCCAGACATTCCTATTGCTGCACATCAGTGACTCCTCAACATCTGGCTTTTTTATGATTGCATAAAGTTTCATTTTAGTTTCTGACAGTGTGTTTCAGATTTTCTAAATGTTTCACATTCTTTTTCCTTTGCAAGCAACTTGAATGGGCAAATTGCCTATGTCTTGGGAGCTGATGGCTTTGTCTTATTGGATCTTCATGGCTGCATTGGATGGACCTTCATGATGGATGAGAAAAACAGATGGCTTTTGTTTTATGTCTGGAGGAATATCTTGTGACCCATGCCATATATCTAGGACCAAAGAAAACGACAGGGGTGAACCTAAAGTAACCTCCCCCCCCCATCACTTTTTGAAGTAATTTCTCTGACCAGCCTAAATCTCTAAAAGAATCCATTCATTTTACGTTGAACATGTTTGTGTTCTTGGGAAGAAATAAGAATTTAAGTGGAAGATGAACCAGAGTAGAAAAGCCAACTAGTAACCAAATGGCTTCAAGACATTAATTAGCTGATTTTTTCCCTATTTTATTTCATTTACTTTTATTGTTATTCTCAAGGTGATTACAGAAGGGTTACCATTTCATAAATCTGGTAATGAGTGCATTTCTGTTTGAGCAATATCACCCCTTCCTTCAAGCTTTCCCAGTTTTTCCTTTCCATCTTTGCCTACAAGTTGTATAGTCTATTTTCAATGTAGTGTCCAGTGAGGGCCACTGCGGCATTTGTTCACCATTTGTCCCAAAGTTTCTGTACCTTTCCTTACCCGCCCCCCCAAAACAGATCAACTAGTTGGGGTTTTAGAGTTTTTTGTCAGGAGTTGAAGCATGTTTTGAATGTTTTGAAAGAGCAGGCAGACAAATGGTGTTACCTGTTCTTTCCCCCCAGCAGTTGACATTCTGTTCATCAATTTCTGCTTTGATTTCTCCTACCAAAGATCTTATTTATGAGTTTTAGGACATTTGAAGTTGAACTTAGTGTTTTAATGTGTGTGTGTGAGTGTGTGTGTGTGTGTGAGAGAGAGAGAGAGAGAGAGAGAGAGAGAGAAATAAGTATCCTAATCTGAAAATCCAAAATGACCGAAAATCCAAAAATTATTGAGCCACTGACATGATACCACAAGTGGAAACTAACTTCCACACCTGACCTTATGTGATGGGTCACAGACAAACGTTAGAAGCACTAGAAAGAGTGTATAAAATTGCCATCAGGATTAGAAATGGAAGAGCACTCAGGAGGCTGAAAATAGTAAATTTGAGGCCATCTGGGCTACATAGGGAGATGCTGTTTCATAAAAACAAAAGAAAATGACCTTCAGGCTGTGTATATACGTTACATATGAGACATAAATGAATTTGATGTTTGTGTTTGTAACATCCCCAAGATCAAATGCAAATGCAGATATGATTGCGTAACAACATCGGAAGTACTTCTGGTCCCAAGCATTTCCCGGAAGGGACACCCGAGCAGCAATGCATGATACCTGTGAGCATCTGTTACGACCTTCTGGGTGTTGTCATGCTGCTCCTTTTCCCATGAATGTGTCATTTACCCCTGACTGCAGACTTCAAAATATTAATGATGATTCCCTCTTTAAAGGCAAGGAAACCAGTATTTTGTATTAAAGTTATAAATGGCACAGCTTGCTTCAGACTAACTAGTCAAAGTCTCCTGGCGCCAAGACCTGAGCGTCCTTCCTTTCATCTTCTTTTATTAATTAGTAGCTATGCAAAAGTGGAAGGATCTCAGACTCAGTCACTGTTTATATACATAGTGGTACCAGGATCTGGCAGAAGATGCTTCACCTAACAGGATTCTGGGCTGTCCAGAATCGTAGCCACTCGCCACAGATAACTATTTTCTAAGTATTCAACAAAAGTGAATATTCATTCTGACCCTCAATTGTTGGCAGCCGTTTTCATCACTACACAAGCACCTAAGGCCAACGGCTCCAGATTGGATGGCACAAACGGAACACTGCTACTAGTCTACTTTTTTCTTCTTGTTCGTGGGACAGCACTTCCAGCCAGAGATGTTTGTTCAATCCATGAGACTTTGCTTCTCACGCGATCTGTGATGTCTGTTGATAGATTTGGACTGACGTAATAACTCTGCTCTCCAGTGTCAGTTCCATCACCCTCTCACATCCTTCATGCATGCTTACTTTTCTCTTCCAAGGAGGAAGTTGGCCGAATATGGAAGATGGAGCTGCTCAAAGAGGCAGATGGGCTGGGAATTCAGGTTAGTGGAGGCCGAGGATCAAAGCGCTCACCTCACGCTATCGTTGTCACCCAAGTGAAGGAAGGAGGTGCTGCTCACAGGTGACTAGATAATTCCCTCCCCACCCCCTCTTATCTTCCTCCTACCTTTCCCTTGGGTGATGGGTACTTTCCTCTTCCCTGTGGTCAAAACCCTGGTAATTATAGTTCATAAAGTTTGTGTTGAGCACAAAAGGAAATCGGGCAAGAGCAATTCTAATTAAACCTATCTCTGAGCACAGGAAGTAGGTAATTGGGGAGTATACTACAGGAACGTCCCAGCCCTGGAGGAGATACTGGATTTCTGTCTAGTCTTAGATTTAAGCAAATGTTACTAATCCTAACTTATAAGTTGCTAAGATGATACTATGACTTATTAAGAATTAGGTAAATTTTTAAACAATTAATATCATTATTTTTGAAGAATATGCCACTAAACATTGCCACATTCTTGACATTCTTAACTCCTTAAGACCAAGACTAATGACTTGGTTGGAAATGCTGCCACAGTTCACATTTGCCTGTCAAGTTTGTCAAGGTCTTGCACACACTTACACCTGTGTTAACAGGTGTTAACAGGTGTTAACACAGGTGTGAAAGGGAACAAAGCATTTTTCTCTATGGGCTCCCCTCTCTTATTTTTTTTTTTTTGCCATCCTTGGATGTGGTAGCCGTTCCTCTCTTATTTTTAATATGAACAATCATGTAAGTAGTAAGAAAGACAGTGTTTACTTACAGAATGTGAAAAAAAAGAAGGAAAGTCATTTTGAGTATGTAGGACACAGCACAAAATGATCAGACATGCTCTTTGCCTTGCTAATTGCTTGTGAACACTGCTGCTTGCAAGGCATTATAGGTCACTTATGTGTATTGCTTACCAGCAAATACCTGGTCTATAGTCTGTAGAAGGAGGAAGAATTTCACTGATGTAGGAGATGAATGTCTTTTGTGTAGTCTGGAATTTTTCCAGGCCAAGTACCCTGATTCTAAGAACAATAGACAAGCCAAAGTAGTATTGGCCTGCCCACGATCAAGAAGGGACTCAAAAGTATATCTTAAGTAGTATATTTGAAAGAACTACATTTACATAGTTAGGCTAAAGAATGGAAAGCAGCTGGGCATTGGTGGCCTATAATCCTAGCTACTCAAATGGCTGAGATCTAAGGATCGTGGTTCAAAGCCAGCCTGGGCAGGAAAGTCTGTGAGACTCTTATCTCTAATTAGGTAGCAAAAAGCCAGAGGTAGAATTGTAACTCAAGAGGTAGAGCACTAGCTTTGAGCAAAAAAAAGCTCAGGGACAGCTCTCAGGCTCTACATCTAAGGCCCAGGACTGGCACCAAAAATAAAAAATGAAAGAATGGAAAACTTGGAAGACCAGCAGAAAAAATAGCAAAGCGTTTCCTGTTTTCAGTCCTCTTGGAAAGCAGGATGCTAGTAACTAGAGATGTGATTAGCTCCAACTGTCAATTATCTAGGTGACAGTAATTATTAAAAGATTAAGACTTCAGATGGTTTTAGCCCAGCTGAGCATTATTAAACTTCCTGAATGGCACGTGCCATCAGGTAGCCTTTCTTCCCCATTATGCTTAGGCCTTCCATTCTGGTCTATTTTGAGCACCTTGGCAATTAGGAAATTTCTGTGCCCAGAGATAAGCTTTCTGTGGAACTGTTCCTCCCTATTTATCCTTGGGGACATTCCTCACAGGCCGCATCATTTTCTTTGCACTCCCTGCCTGCAGTGGTGTGTCCCTGTCACTGTGGCGCATGACTCACAAGTAGGGTGTCCTAGCTGATAACAGGAGATAAAAGCCAGGGAATTAAATCGCAAATAGGAAAGGGGCTGGGGCCTGCCTGGTCTTGATAGTATTGTGGCCGAGTAAGTCCAGAGACACTTCCCAGAATCATTTCTTTTTTTTGCGGGGGGGGGGGTCCAGTCATGGGGCCTGAACTCTGGGCCTGGGCGCTGTCCCTCAGCTCTTCAGCTCAAGGCTAGCACTCTACCACTTGAGCCACAGCGCCACCTCCGGCTTCTTTCTTTTTGCTTGTGGTGCTGAGGAATCGAACCCAGGGCCTCAGGCATGCAAGACAAGCACTCTACCACTGAGCCACCTTCCCAGCCCACCAGAATCATTTCTTTATGCCAGCATCACTCTCCCCCTGCAGGACCATCTCCTTGAGATGCCAGTTACTTCTCCCCTCTGATTTTCCCATTTCCTTTTTCTCAGCATCTAAGCAACAAGTGGGGCCCTTAGTAGTTCTCTGCTTTGGGAACTTTTGAAGGACAAGAAGCAGAGGCTATTAGAAGTCTCTGGTGCATCCAGGCTTCAGTTAAAGCCTAGATTATGATTTTTTCCCTAGAGAAAGGGAGACAAAGAGTTAGAGATAGAGAAGCTGTTGAGAGCAGGACGATAGAGGTGAGGATAAAAGGAGCGAGGCTGGTTGGTTTGTTGAAAGCATGAGAGGAGAAAGCAGATTGGAGAGAAGCTGGCCTGGTAGGCCTAGAAGGATTGGAGACATGTCTGGCTTCCATAACAGCAGTCTGTCATGGTGCTGAAGAGAAGCCTTTGAAGGAAAAATGGAGCCCCAGGTCCAAAGTCTTTCCACATCACCTGACTTCCTGTCCACATATAGCAGTCCCTGGCTTCCTTTGTGATTCAGGGAGACCACACCAAAGAAGGCTTAGCTGGAACCCACCTAAGGGACCTTCTAGCCAGATGTGATGGCCCAGAAGTCTGCCATAGTGTGTCACTCAAGGGCCATGGCCTGCCCTGGGAGGGAGTCAGTGCCGGCAGGGTCTCCTGCCAACCCAGCAGGAAGGAAGCCCAAATCAACCATCGTGTAAGTTGGACAGAAATAAAGAACAGCCATGTTTATAGGTCATGTCTGATAGCTACAACAGTAGCATTCTTATTTTGTGGATCCTTCTTGCCTGTGAAGCGTGGTTACAACTGTGGACGTGAGAATGAGAAAAACACTAGGCGGCTTTATCCTCAGACATACACACAGGGTAATGTCAGGCACAGGTGCCTCCAAGGAGGTCTAGTGAGGGTCCTGTGACCTGGGAAGAGAGAGGGCACAGGATTAGGAACGGACTTCAGTGGGCTGTCTCTCAGCTTAGCTCAGTGAGTCATTTCTGTGCCGATGACTTGGTCATCAGGCAGAATGACAGGTTTTAAAAAAATTACTTAGTCTAGCACCATGGTGGTACGTGCCTATAATCCCAGCACTTGAGATTGAGGCAAGAGGATGGTGAGTTCAAGGCCAGCCTGGTATACCTAGTACCATCAAGGCTAGTCTGAGCTATGTAATGAGACCTTGTCTCAAAAAACAAGGACTTGGCTAGGTACCAATGAATCACACCTATAATCCTAGCTACTCAGAAAGCTGAGATCTGAGGACTACAGCTCAAAGCCAGCCCAGGCAGGAAAATCCATAAGACTCTTATCTCCAGTTAACTACCAGAAAAGCAGAAGTAGCTCTGGCTCAAATGGTAGAACATTCACCTTGAGCTGAAGAGCTGAGGGACAGCGCCCACGGCACAAGTTCAAGCCCCACAACCAGCAACAACCAAAAAAAAAACCAAGGCCTTGGGACATAGCTTAGTGGTAGAGTGCTTACTTGGTACGTGCAAAGCCTGGGTTCAATCCCTAGCAACACACACACACACACACACACACACACACACCAATATTCCTTGAAAACTTCTGGGTCTTAGTTTCTCTACCTGGGTAGGAGTTCTATTGCCACTCATACTGGATATGGGGAAAATTAAGAACGTGATTCTTGCTGAAATCCTGAAGCTTTTCACTCTTTGTAGGAATGTGACACCAGAAAGAATCAACCTTGTCCCAAACCATTTCTAGTTGTCACCACTTCCTCTTTTAGCCCAATTTTAACTGTCCTGTCTCATGACCTCCTGTAGCCCCTTGAAAATGTCCCCTCTCAGGCACAGACTGTCTTGACACACGGATTTTTTTCCGTCTCTGTTTGTTAGGGATGGCCGACTGTCCCTAGGAGATGAGCTGCTGGTCATCAATGGTCACTTATTGGTTGGCCTATCCCATGAGGAAGCTGTGGCCATTCTCCGCTCAGCTACTGGCATGGTGCAGCTGGTGGTAGCCAGCAAGGTAGGTCATGTTGGCTCGTTTTTTAAATATTCTTAATGGAGGTAGGAGGTTGGATTGGAACCCTCCCTCTGCCACATGCCAATGTGTATGGTACCTGCATGTCTACCCTGGGCCATTAAATATCCATGACTCACCAGGTGCCTGTGGCTCACATCTGTAATCCTAGCTACTCAGGAGGCTGAGATCTGAGGATCATGGTTCAAAGTCAGCAGAAAACTCCATGAGACTCTTTATCTCCAATTAACCACTAGAAAACTGGAAGTGGCTCTGTGGCTCAAGTGGTAGAGCGCAAGCCTTGAGTGAAGAGCTGAGGGAGAGCACCCAGGCCCAGAGTTCAAGCCTCACAACTGATATATGTCCATGACTCCTCAGGGTAAGCCTGCATGAAGACCCTTAGCTAGAATAGGTTTAATGATTTTGTTTTTTTTTAGAGATATGTTAGGGAATGAAAAAGAAATGTTAGAACTAAGAGCTGGGAAGGTAGAAGGCACACTGAAGGAAAGAGGGAAGAGGAAGTTCAGAAGTGAAGACTAGGGAAGAGGAAGGCACCTGTTGGTCAGTTTTGTCAACACTGTAGCAAAATACCTGAGATGAACAGCTTCAAAGATGTTAGTTTAGTCCACGGTAAGGAGATTCTGTTGCTTTTAGACCTGTGACAAGTACAAACAACATGGGGAAAAAGCTTCTCCTCAGGGTTTCCAGGAAGCAGAGACACAGAGCAAGGAGAGAACCCTTCAAAGCCATGTTCCCAAAATCCGCTTCCATTGCCTCACCTTTTGGCTTCCACCACCTCCTACTAGTTGGATTATGAGTCCTTCAATGGATTAATTCATTATGGAGTCAGGGTTTTCAGGATTCAATCACTTCCTAAAAGCTCCACCTGTGAACTGTGCACTGGGGCCTATTGCCTTCAACTCATGGGCATTCAGGAGACATTTCCTTTCCAAACCCACAGCAGTGGAGATTTCTTCTCCGTAGACCACAGCTCCTTTCTTCCGATAATCCTGCAGCATTGACGTCACGGACATGAACTCTTCTGTCTGATAACTTTTTTATGTCCATAGGTAGGGACTAACAATGTAGTGGTCACAATGAACAATCAAACTTGAAAATTCTTCAGGTTCCTGAAGTTGAAAATAAAACTAATAATAAATACCATCACTAAGTGCCAACTTAGAAAGTTTGTGAAATCCACTGTTTAAGATGGACATGTTCTGGGTCCTCTGGTCTGTGAACTCTCAAGCAAAATGCTGATTGAAACCTTCAATGCATCCCTGTGCCTATGGGAGAGGTTGGCATGGGTGGGTGAGGAGACACCAAAGCTATCTTACTGCCACCAACTCAGCTCCACAATCCTGGGCCCCTCCCTCCACCCCCCTGGCCTTGTGTTGAGCACTTGAATCTTGTGTGTTTCTCAGTTGCACTTGGGCTTGTCACAAGCACTTGATGATCATACCTGCCTCCCTCACCTGCTCTGGCCTTCTCTGTATGTACTTAGGAAGCCAAGGGCTGAGTTAATTGCACTCTCTTGGAGTCTTTCTAATCCTAATGGCGTGTGGTTCCACGTGTTGCTGTTGACCTTTAAATGTTGTTCAAGGGCTGCTTTCATTGTGTCTCCAGATTGACAGTTTGATTCAATAAACAATCTCATCTCTGGCTAATGAGCTGAAGCTAGTGAGGTGGCCACTGGGTGGGAGAGAAGGGCATTGTGGGTATTAAAGCCCTGTGCCAGGCCTGGGGACATGGGAAGAAATGGCATTAGATGGGAGGGAGGGCAGGGAAGAAACACAAGGGATGTTAAGTGTGTACTGCAGGGGATGAACAGCAAGGACATTAGAGATGAAAGGTGGGGCAGTGGATGATCCAGAAGCAAGTGCACAGGCTTTGCAGGCCAGAGGCTCTGTGTGATCCAAGCAATGGGTGCCCTGAGGGAGAAGGCAAGGGACAGGCAGTGTGGGGGGGATTGGAAATGGCTGGAGTGGAAGGTATGGGCTGGAGAAGAGGAGGTGGGAGGAGGGTTCAGAAAGCCAGGCAAAGGCCAGGTCTTCAAATGCTGACCTGCCCATAAGAGAGTTTCACCTGCGTCCTGAACATAACACCAGGGAGGCCCACAAAGGATCCAAAGTCCAAAAGCTGGAATTGCCTGTGGAAAACCTGACCCCAGAAACCCAGATTCTTCAGGGCAAAAGAAAAGTGGTTTGAGCTTTGGGTCCCCAGGCCCTGCCTCTGATGGTAACCCCACACATGTAACCCTGCCTAAACTCCATGTGCTTCTGGGGTTGGGGGCCTGTAGGTTGACTCCATCAGGTTGACTTTCAGAACTTGTTGGTGTCAGAGGCTAATTGCTGGGTCTTCATGTGTCCCCACAGGAAAGCTCTGCAGAGGACCTGCTCAGGTTAACGTCTAAGAGCTTACCTGATCTTACCAGCTCGGTAGAGGATGTGTCCTCCTGGACTGACAACGAAGACCAGGACCCAGATGGAGAAGAGGAAGAAGGGACAGGTTCATCTTCCGTCCAGGGAGCAGTAAGTGAGCCTCTGGCTTTCCTAGCCTGCTTGGTGTGGGACATGGTTGACAGGAACAGAAGAGAAAAACTAGAGACCATAACACATTCTTTTATGTTTTCCTCAGAATTTTCTGCAAACGTCTGTAGATGAGGGTGATGTGTTTAATTGAAAAAAAAAGTTGGAAATTGTAACCAAGATAAGAAAGCAACGGGCTATTGATTGGCTAATACATCACTTTTTCAAATGCTTTTTGTTTAAGTTCTAGCAAAGGTTTGTTTTAATGTAACAGTATAAGGTAGGGAGAAATGGAAAACGAGAGAATTTCCCACTCCCCATGCAGGAAATGGGAGATAAAGACTGATAGGATTCTTTTCTTTTTTGTTTTTTGTTTGTTTGTTTTTTTCCAGTCCTGGGGCTTGAACTCAAACCTGGGCACTGTCCCTGAGCTTCTTTTGCTCAAGGCTAGCACTCTTAACCACTTGAGCCACAACGCCACATCCAGTTTTTTCTGTTTATGTGGGATTGAGGAATCAAACCCAGGGCTTCACAAATTCTAGACAAGCACTCTACCACTAAGCCAACTTTCCAGCCCTCATAGAATGCTTTTATAGTATACATAAGGATAGAATGAAAAAATGGTTAATACATTTTAAACATATACCTCAAAATTTCTGATTGGGCTGGGCATGGTGTCTGATACCTGTAATCCCATGTGTTCGGGAGATGGAGACAGGAAGACATGATTCAAGGCCAGCCCAAGAAAAAAGTTAGCAAGACACTGTCTCAAAAACAAGCTGTGGCGGTGCATACCTGAGGCCCCAGCCATGGGAGAGGTTTCTGGTTGAAAGTAGGAAGGTTAACATAATATGAAAAACACTCAGACCAATTTGTGTGAAATACACCTTCCAATTTTACATCAAGCAAGGACTTTCCCCACTGTTGCCCTTCCCTTGTGGGAACACAGTCAGCCAAGGAAGGCTTCAGTTGATGGGCTTTAACGTGGCCGATGGGCTCCTCTTTGTATGCCGTATCTGAAAGTTGCATCATCTTTAGTGCAAACTTGTTAATCCTTGTTACCAGTCCAAGCAGCATGAGGCTACTCCTCTTTCTGCCACTTGGAATCCACTTCTCCGTACCAAGGGCTCCGAACCTAGTTAGTGTGGGTAAGCACTGGAAAATCAGCTTGACTGATCATAAGGACTTTGAAGGCTCACAATCTTGTTCTATTAACCATAACATACTTTATTACTTTAAGGAAAAAAGCTGACTAGATGTGTTGAAGTACATTTGTAACTCAGCACTTGAGAGACTGAGGCAGGAGGGTAGTAAATTCTAGGCCAGCCTGGATTGTATAATGAGATCATATCTTTAAAAAGAAGGGGGGGTGCTGATGTCGTTCAGTGGTAGAGTCCTACTCCTTTCCTTTGGGTCCTAGAAATCCAGGGCCTCTGAGTATGGTTGTGCAGGCGGTAGACCTCACAAAGCTATCACATCTAAGGAAGCACCATTCATATCATACATGTCACAAGCGTTTACATTTATGGTAATAGTTTCCAGAGCTTGACAGTAGTGATTTTCACGTTGACAAAGTTGGCATATTATGATGGGGTTTTTTTTGTTGTTGTGTTTTGGGTTTTTTTTTTATCTTCTTGAAGAATCTATCCTGGACCCACAGTATATATCCCTGGGCTGTTTTAGAATCTGCCCAGTGATAGTCTGTGGGCCCAAAGTTGATTTTACTGCTGCTTTTCTTCTTTGGAAGACCCATCTGTAAAAGCAGGTAAACCTGATCTGGATAAATGGAGTTAAGGTGAATAAAGTAAAATAATTCTGTAATTATTCCTATCTTTACATCGTGATACCATTCAGCCCTTTTCTTTGACTTTCAGTGAACATAGAGACTAAACTAATTCACATGGCCCTCACTGCCTCCATGACCGTCCCCTGCCTGCTTCTCTGGCCTTCTTTTGCCCTACGCTTTCAATCGGTTCTGTGCCTGGCCATGGCCCATGGTGTTAGACATTGTCCGCCGGGCCTTAGCCAATGCTCTGCTGGCTCTGTGGACTCCTCACACAGTTGGCTCATATTCGTCTTTTGGATCCAGATTCTTAAGAGGAAATAACCAGGCATGGGGCTCTCCTGTCAACCGCCTGCCGCATGCTGTGTGCTGCGTATTTGATCAGGTGTACTTCCCCCTTCCAGCCATAGGAGTGGCAGGAACATGCCTGGGTCTGATGGATCTGTACGATTCCGCCAGTGTATCTGCTGTTGACAGGATGGGTGCAAGCCCAAGCACAGTGGAAAACTCACCATACAGCATCCCCAGGAGATGAGGTTAAACAATGCATGCATAACACACACAGCCAGCAGTCATTGAAAACCTGCTGTTTTTTAGACCCAGGTAACAATAAAAACTGACAACAAAATCGAATTCCAGTTTTCCACCAGCAGAGCTGATGCTCACTCCCCTTGCCCACAGCTGCCCACGGCATGGCTGCCCCCAAGGGCCGGGGGCGATACCACATTCTAGTCTCAATGGCCCGTGAGGACACTTTGGAGAAAGCCTTGGACAGGCCTGAGCATCGTAATCTCACCAGCACCTTCTCCCTCTCCTCTACCCATCTTCCAAGGCCAAGATCTTCTAGGAGTCTACCTTTGCTCTCTCATTTCTCCAGCCCCAGTGCTACTGGCACAGGACTTAATCTCCATTCCTCGCATAGGATGCAGAATGGACTCCATGGCTGTCCAGCCATATGGTCCAGCTCTATGTTGTGTCCAGTGCCCTCTTCTGATGGCTCCTTGAGGCTCAGAGGCATTCCCCATATTCTCCTCCCCTGCCCCCTCACAGCTAGACAAGATTCCTTGCTTAGCGGTCCCCCAAGTGTCTCCACCAGCTTTCAGTGGAGTTGAGGGCCTCCGGGAAGGAGAAGCCACGGTGAAGACCCCCCTCTGACAAAGCCCCTGGCCACTGAGACAGCACAATGGCTCTTTGTAGGGAAATCACAGACATGGTAACTTTTTTTTTAATTTTTGTTTTTATAAAGGTAATATATAGACGGTTTACAGTTATATACGTCAGGCAAGGAGTACCTTTCTTTTTGGACAGTGTCACCTCTTCCCTCTCACTCTCCCAGTTTTTCTCTCCCATACCCACCCACAAGTTGTATAGTTCCTTTTCAGCGTAGTGTCTAGTGAGTATTACTGCTGCATTCGTTTACCCTTTGTCCCACCCTTTCTGGGCTCCCTTTACCCCCGAAAGGACTCATAAATTAACAAACAAGACAGGAAAGAAACAAAAACCGTCATAAAATAAAAAAAAAACCTCTTGTTTCCATTTCCTGGAATTCATAGTGATTTCTTAAAATTTCCTAAGTCACATTCTCTTGCAAAAATCCCAAGTGAATATTTAATTGTCTGGGAGTTTTCTATGCTAAATACTGTTCTGATAAATGACCTATTTCCCATATATAATATATATATCCATTATGTTACATCTGTTACATGTTTTACTTGAATTGTAAGAATAAATTTCATAAATGTGCTTTTATAAACTTACTACAATTCAAATATTACATATAATTGTGTTACATATAATTTGATTTAAATACTTTTTTCAGATTACAAAAGCAATATTTCACCATATAAATGCTTATGACCAAAAAAACCCACAAAGACAGTATACATAGCATTTAAAAATAGCCATCTTTGACATTTAGACATTTTCCTGTCATTTTTATTGAGTTTTGTTTTGTTTTTGTTGGTCGTGGGGCCTGAACTCTGGGCCTGGGCGCTGTCCCTCAGCTCTTCAGCTCAAGGCTAGCACTCTACCACTTGAGCCACAGCACCACTTCCAGCT